CAAGGGGTGTCTAATCACAGGACACCGGACCGAGGCTGGGCCTAGACTCTTTGCAGGGAAAGGGTGGCAAAAACACAAGGTGTCCAGTAACTGTGCGCTCTAAGTTACACAGAAACCTGGGTCGTGCTGGAGACCCCAGATTTACAGTGTAGGCAAGACAGTTAGTGGAGACCCGGAAGTGATGGCAGATATGGAAGCCCCATCTTTCGTCTCGGGCAGCGACATACTGTCCTTGGTCTAACGACTTCTGTCATTGGTCCAACGTCAACCACCTACGACAATCGCCAGCAACACGCCTGTCCTTAGCACCACAGTATATTTTTTTTTCAGTGTCGACGACACATTTAATTTTACCCTTGAAAGGCCTATCACCGGAAACGAAAAGGAAAGGAAAGAGCGCAAGATACAAGCATTTTGACTGTCTTCCTGTCTCGAACAGGACTTGAGCCGCTATATAATAAAGTCTGCAAACTGAAAACTTCCCAGACTGGCCTGCCCCACTCTCAAGAAAACATGAAATCGTTTACCTTTTCAACAGCCGTTTGCTTGGTACTAGGTAGGTGTGTGAATACTGAATAATGAGTGTTTATCCCAAGATGATAACTTCTCTCCTCCACCAATTAAGAGATGTGATCACAAGATAGGGGCAACGCCAGCACTTTTCTTCCCCTTTTTACACAAGGTAATTGCCTCCGCAGTGGCCCTGACCTGTGAGAGCCAACCTTACAACTGCCCGTCTGTGTGTGGCTTTAACCTCATGCCAGTCTGCGCTGTGGATCGCCCTCGACGCCTCCTCATGACGTTTGACAACGACTGCCTCAGGCTGAAACACAACTGCGACTACGGCACAAGTAAGCATTCCAAAGTGAAAAAAACTCGGGTATGATACACTAGAAATAACAGAAAGAAGTAAAATGATTTGAAAACAAAAATGTTTTGCATTAGATGGTAACATGATCGTGTTTGCAGATTTCATTCGGCTCTTTGACGGAATATGTCGTCCCATTTCTATACCTCCAAGAGATGACCCAAAAGCCTAAAGGACTAAGATTGTTACAAAAAACACCTTCTCATTACTTCCAAATAACCGGTAAAATGATGAGAAAGAAAATAATTTTTAAGAGAAAATATTTTTCTAGATAAACTCTCCAACAGACGAAATTGTTTCCCCGTTACACTTCCCTTCAAAATAAATTTATCTTAAATGAAATGTTTTGTAAAGCGACTGAAATATTTTATTTGATAGTCAAACACAGAAATTTGCGGTTGTTCCGCTCGGGGTAGGCCTCTGGCCCTTTACACGGCTGATAAGCGGGTTGGCGTGCCCAGTGCGATGCGGGTGTCCTGTAAGCACAACGCACAACCATACCCACCAGAAATATGATCGCACCTTGTAAGGCATGGCTCATACTTAGTTGGCACATACGAAAAGGTACATATAACGCTATCTCGCACCCGCTCGGTCTCATTAACACCCCTTTGGGTGAACGACACATCAGAAAATATCACTGTGAGACCACCTGACCAAGAGGGAACGTCCATCTGGCTGATCAGTTGAAAAGAACTCAGCGTGGGGAGCGAGGTACCAACTATAACCTGGACAAAATAAAAATATTCACAAAATTTATATACAATCTTATTGAAATTAGGAAATCCGTCTACCCTGAATAAATTACGAAAGCACCTCCAGGATTTCGAAGAATTATTGGATGAGGACAGCTTCGAACTGTGACATTACAACTGCGTACGTAGTTATAATATGCAGTACCTGAAAGCAAACATAGATTTGTATAGGCTGTATTTAGTTAGGATAGCGAAAAGCTAAAGCCGAGAGCTTTAAACGCGAAAGCCCAAAGGATAACCGAGAGCGAAGAATCGGTGCGGTGGTTGAGGGGAGAACGGCAGCTCGGGTCACCGAGTCTCCAGGGCGATCGGAGAGCTCCGGCCTGCGATTTGCCTGCGCCTTCTTATTGCCCCCATCTCCACCCCTCTCACCTTGTTTCAGGGCGTTTAGAAGGCGCAGGCAAATCGCAGGTGGGAAGCTCTCCGATCGCCCTCCGGTCGCTTAATTGAGCTCTCGCGGATTTAGCTCTCCGAACTAAATACAGCAATAGACTGATGTACATGAGTTGTGTACACACATAACATATATGTTAATTTTACGCATCAAGTAATTGCGTAAGCTTTACACATGTGCACATGTAGGCCTAAAAAAGCGAGACCCAAGTATGGTCTTCAAGTTCTTACCCCCTTCAGTGCAGAAACGTCATAATTAAATATTCCGAATACACACGCACTGCGACATTTTTCTTGGCCTCGTATTTGAAAAATTAATTTTTTGACCTAGAAGGGAAAACAGGAAAAAAGGTTTTGTGTTTAAATTGAAGCTAACAATATACATATATCAATGAAGTTATACAGGAGGGGTTTTCACTCCCGTAATACCCTGTACACCCCACCTGGGTATTACGCGGTATTACTTGTAATGTAATACCGAAAAATAACAAAATATGCTATAAGGTGGCAACATTTTGAGTGTAATACCGGCGTAATACCCGGTAATACCTCGTAATTTGGTGTAATACCGAGTACCCTGTACAAGTTTTATGGCAGTTTACATTACAGAAGTAAAATTTCACGGCACATTTTGATTCCGAAATGTGACGTCCGTATAAAGCACCCTTTATAGCAGAGTTAGGTAACATTCGGATTTAAATTACATTCCCCACGTAAAGACGTCATTTCATCGTCAAATAAGATGATGAAGCTCTGTCTAGACATACCTCTTCTCTTTCATCAACTCCCGTGCCACGACATACGAGGTAAGTCTCTGCAGCTTCCCTTAGTTTAGCACGCTGTAAACCAAATGCATAGTTATTTTCACCCTTCCTTTTTTTTACTATAGAACTATAGTCTGCCACAAAAAGACGAATTTACAGCGAGTTTGTTTTTAGGTTTTATCATTCAAACAAAACGACTGATAACAGGCTCGCAATGGTGGCATGGTATTTGGTTTGTTCTGATCTCAAAAGAATAGCCAAGATTTTACATATACAAGAGGCGTTCGATAGACCACGTAAAAATTTCCCAGGTAAACGGGCCGTATATGATTTGTATATGATCATATACACCTATATATGCTTTATATATGACGACATATATGTCCACATATATGGTGGTATATGGTCATATATATGCTTGTATATGGGCTTATATATATTGCCATATATGCATATATGGGTCCATATATTACCATATATGTTTCGATATACAGCCATATATGGTCATACAAGCATATACAAGCATATATGCTAATATAGTACCGTATATGGCTGTATATCGAAACATATATGGTGATATATGGACGAATATATGGTAATATACAAGCCCATTTACAATTAAATATAATCCATATACAGTAATATATGGTTACATATGTGGTCATATATGCGCACATATATTACCATATACTGAACATATATAACTTTATATGAAAGATATATAGACCTCATTTACCTGGCTTGGTTTCGTTTTGCTGTACTGTATGCACACGAGTGGATTTCAGTATATTACGACTTCTGTTTAAGATGCAGCAATGTGGTTTGCGCCGTTCAATGCAGAATGGTCTTTTCTTTAAGAAATTTACAGAAGTACGTGGTGTTTGGAGTGAAACTGTAGCCTCTAAGGGACAAATACTGACATTTTGGAACAATTTGCAGTGTTCAAGAATTCTTTTTCGACGTATTCTGCCTAAGCCTGCCAAGATATGTGGTAATTTCCTTTTACCAACATTGTAGGACTTTTAATTCTCTGTAACTTTAATTTTCATGAAATGTCTGTATCTTAAAAATGGCAGGTGCCAGAGAGGATGAAACACCTGGTAATATTATCTGGTCGCCGAGCTCCTATGCAGATGCAGAAACACCCTAACAAGGGGGCTTGGCTTAGGTAAGTGTAAATTCCCGATCTTGCCGAAACTCTGTATATTTTTTTCTTATCTATGTTGATGACGACTGACTGTAGTATTTTTTCCTGAGTATCAATTTCTAGGGTACATTAGGGGAGGAAATAATGGAAAAAATATTGAATTTGGGCCAAAACTGACGGAAGGAGGTCTCAAATAAAAAGGTGGTAGAGGAACTACCCCCGCAAAACCGCTCATTTTGAGTCGAAATATCGCTTAACATTTGTACAAAAGTAGAAATTTGTATTTTTCGAAATTTTACGCTTTTATAGGGAGTTTCGGCACATGACACTCAGGGAAAAATTTGGTCGGCATTCGTCACCTACATAGATAAGAAGCAAATATACCGAGTTTGGGCACGATCGGGAATTTACACTTGCCTAAGTCCCCTTGTAAAGGACGACCGGCAACCACTCTAAAACGTAGAGTGACCGGCAACTCACACTAACACCCTCGAAAGAAAGGTAGTAAGTGTGGGTTGCCGTAGAGTGACCTTTTTTTTTTCGCGAATAGAGCAACGTATACACTGTAAACGCCGTGGTCGCCTAGCATGCCAAAATGTTGACAGTCTATTTTGACTGACAAATTTTGGCATTCTTTTTAGTGGCTGCCAGTTTTTGGCCTCCTTGAATGCCAAATGTTGGCCTTCTTTCAAAAAAATGCCAACTTTTGGTATTCAAAGAGGCCAAAAATTGGCAGCCTCTAAAAAGAAGGCCAAAATTTGGCATTCAAAAAAGGCCTGTCAACATCTTGGCATTCTAGGCGACCACGGCGTTAGCACTGAGGCTTCGTCGCTCTGTTAGAGCGATTTTTGCGAAATGACTCAACATGACTCTTCTTCGTAACAGAAACTGTCGCAGAAACGAGCAACGTTCGAGACTCAAAATGAGTCTTATACGTTACCAAAAATGTCACGAAAAGTTACTCCAAACGAGCGATGTAATTAATATCGCTCTCCGAAGAGTCGTCAAATTGGATTCACAATATCGCTCTATTTGGTCACTCCTTTACTTGTAGTGTCGGTCTTTGAGTCTAACGTGTCATGTTTTGTTACCGCCTAACAAAGTGGAATGCAAGCACTTTTCAGAGCACATACATGTATTAATCATTTACGTTCAGTTTCTGTGAGGCGAAACTGAACGTGAATGATTAATATGTCATCGCTTTCCCAACCCTTAATAATATTTCTTATAGATAGAAGACACCATTCCGCATTGAAAGGCACAGCCCACATTGCTGTATCTTAAACAGAAGCCGAGATATACCACTTTGTTTAAACTCGAAACTTTGAACTTCGAACACGATTTAAACCAATCGGCACGATGGGATTTTGTGAGAATTTTGACCAGGCACTCCTTAAGGTGCTCCCACAATGCTCTCATGGCTCATCGCTCATCAAGCTCATTTTGAGGATTTGCTAGCTCATTCAATTGAGCGGCCCATCAGCTCATTTTCGGGGATGGGATATTTCCACAAATATTGTGTTCATTCCGGGCGAAAATATCTGTCTCATATCGTGACTATAGCTGTTTCACACCAATTTAGTCCGTGCCCAACCCCTGCTATCCCTTTGAACCCCTAGAAAATCCCCAAAATACGAGCGTCCCACAATGAGCCATGAGCGCATTGTGGGACGCATTTTCACATGCCCTACACAACCTACTAAGTTTGGTACTGTTCCGAATTTTGTCTAGCTCAAAACAAAATTTGACAAGCAAACCGTTCTGCCTGCAAGCGGTATAGAACTAAAGAGACTACAGGACTTGCTTAGTGATACCCAGTTTTAAGCATGAAGGATGATGTACAGTAAAACATAATATGTCTCTGTAAAAGAAAAATTAACACAACACTCACTAAAGTTGGTTAGATCATAGATACCCATAGTGGCTGATACCAACCGCGCACATATTGTTACCGGTTGCAAGAGTTTGGTAGGGTTTGCGTATTGTCCCTGACCATGGCGTCTTAGGGCCGAGCGAGAAGGCAACTCACACGCAGGGAGGAATGAGGTACAGTACAACAACAGCAGTGGGCGGAGTAAAGCCCGTGGTACATTTCTACCATTTTTACACTGTCAACTGGTTGGCGTTCTTCAGAGAACGTCGATATTTTAGCGACATAAGACGACAGCCACTTAACATTGTAGTAACGATACTTTCCTCTACTTCGGTTTGCTGTGACAAGATGCAAAGGTGAGTATACTCGAGAAGATAACACACTACCATAAATGCAGGACCTAATGCTCGAGACGCTGAGAGGTGTGCCGTGCTTTGCATCTGCAACAGTTTTTACATTAAGGGGGCAGGCCTATTAAATACGAGGGTTAGGGAGGTATTTATTTTTTTAAATAAGAACCGGGGCGATATGAACAACAGATCCTTCAATTGGTAGAGAATTGGGCTACAATTTGACATATCAAAGAGAAGTGCACCATGTTCTTCGACAACGTGGTGTTCTTTGACTTCAATAAGATGCGTACACTCTTTTGCGGCGTGCATATGGACCAAACGGATGGCTCTGCGACAAAGAATGTCAGTTACTTTCAAAGGATGGGTTTTTTGCGTGACGAAAGTGATTTTAAAATTTTTAATTTTTGAACTTCCCAAAAATAATAAAGTTGTAGTGGGAAAAACTGAGTGAACTTGCTTACATTGTCCCCAAACTGGGTAACTTCGATGTGACGTTTTGAAAATCGCCTTTATCACGCAAGAGGCAATAGGCGTGACTAGTTCAACACTGATGAACAAAGTGTGCAACTGCTTTACACTGACTTGTAAGTGTTCAACTGCAAGTTGATTACTTACAAGTGTGCAATTTCTCAGTTAAGCACTTTCCTAGATTGTATGCTCACTGTGTTGTACACTAGGGGTGATCGAATTTTGCCGATTTTCGATTTGAGAAATGTAATCCCTTGTAGCACAGAACGTTTACGGAACCTTCTTCACGTAATATTTTTCTAAATTATATTTTACGAAGCATTTCCTAACATTCTTTTTCGTAAAATCATGAAAACTTTTTACAGTAGTGCACTTACAAGTGTTAAGCAGTTGCACACTTAGTTTATCAGCGAAGCCAAACCATGTTTCCGGCAGGTTACACCTCTCTTTTAGATCAAATTGAAGTTCAATTCATTACCAATTACAGGATCTTTCACATATACCGCTGGGACTTATAGTTTTCTTAAAACAAATAATGTACCGAAACCTTGGATGTCACGGCAATTTCGGGTCTGCCCCCTTAAACCAACATTAAATCAATTGAGATATCAACTAAGCCAAATGTAATGTACACTGTTAAAAATAACTGTCACCTGCTGTCGACATACTGCGGGATTGACACTCCTGTTATACAATAGAAATGTTGTTTTCATTTGAACCCTCTAGAAACTTGTGAAGTTCGGCCCATATTGGCCCACAACAAAAACTACTGCGTATTACTTTGCTGTACATTTACAAGAAAGGCGAAAATAATTTTGTTAGCAATACATTTCGTTCCAAAACAGGACACACGTAGTATTACAACAGGAGCAAAGCAAAGTAACTGCTTTCGGTCGGAAACGTTGCTTCCAAGATTTTGATAAACGCTTTTTTTTTTTTACACACTGATAAACTAAGTGTTCAACTGCTCAACACTTGTAAGTGTGCAACTGCAAGTTGAATACTTGCAAGTGTGCAACTTCGTAGTCGTACACTTGCAAGTGTTAAACTCGGTAGGTGATCACTTGCAAGTGTGCAACTCCTCGGTTGAGCACTTCCTACACAATAAGCGTCAAATCTAAGGAAGTGTTCAACCGAGGAGTTGCACACTTGCAAGTGCACACCTACCGAGTTGCACACTTGCAGGTATTCAACTTGCAGTTGTACATTTGTAAGTATTTAACTTGCAATTGCACACTTGAAAGTGTTGAGCAGTTGAACACTTAGTTTATCAGTGCAGTAGTATAATGCCATTAAAAATACAGGATTTGCTGCTAACAAAATTAATCACACTTTCGTTGCAAATTTACAGCAATTTTTTTAACAGTGTACCAGGTACTATGAGTTCACAAGTCTCTAAAATATTATGTACTGAGTATTAAAATCTGAAATGTACACCTGGGGATTAGAGTATATGATCCAATGGGACAATCCTAAAGGTGATATCCAAAGTAGAAAGACAATGAAGACGAGCCGCTGCGAACCAGAAGCTGAATCGTTTGCAAGGCACATGTCGTGTAGAAAACGTTGTCTTACTCGCAATGCGCGTACGTCGAACTGTTGATAAAGTCAAGAGCCATTATAACAAGAATCCCTTTTCTCATGATCACACCTAACCTAGTTTTTGAACAATTAAAACTATGGTCGTATACTCTGGTATCTTTTTTTACAGTGATAATAATTTAAAGAAATACTTTTGTTAGTTACCTGTTTTGCTCCACCCATTGCCTTTGCTTGTTCCGCTTCTTTGTTCTCAAGCGATTGAACTTCAATGTGTGGTATGTATGGCACTATTGTACTGATTTGCGGTTTAACAGAACACATCACGCGAACACCGTCTCTTCTACTGAAATCCAAGTTTCAAATTTCTAAATAAATTTTAAAATAGAGCATTCACTTAAAACTTTCTTAAAAATTTAAAGAGATAATTATTTGTGTATTTCTAGGCTTTATCAGCTTGAGGATCCTAACCGATTTTAAAATATTAACATTGCATTGTGCATTACATTCGATAGTATGACTAAGGACTATGGTTTTAGATTTGAATGTCTTTTATTTGTTGGCTGAAATTGCCGACCAAAACATCTGGAAAACGGCCGACAGAATCGTGGTTCATGGTTTTATTGAAAGTTTGCTTAAGATCCCGCAAAACCATACGGATCCTGCTTCCAAGCGATGGTAAATCATTCTAAATGTCCCGGTTGACATCTTATTTTACAAATTTGAATGCATTTACATCTGAAAATCATTTCATAGTACCACATACAATGAAAACTGGCTGAGCTGAGGCTGCAGGTGGTTGCCGTCAGTCGCCGCCTCGCCTACGACTCCATTGTGGCTCGCCCGTAGCTCTCGTGACGTCACGGGCCAGGCTGGCCGAGCCACGGATGGCTCGGGAGCCACACTGGTGTTAAGCTGTTAAGATCTTTAAACTGATGGAGCCCTAATCTGAAGCTTTGTTTACATGCCTTAAGTCAGATGTAAGTGCTTCTAAAACAGCGACTGCACTGTAAAATGCTTGCAAACTATATTCTTTGCAACGTTGCAAAGAATTTGCGAGCCTTGTATTGCAAAGAATTAGTTCGTATTGCAAAGAAGTTGTTTGCAGCCTGTCAGAATCCTTGCAAACAATGTGTTTGCATTGCAAAGAAATAGTTTGCAAGCTTGCAAAGAACTAGTTCGTATTACAATGCTTGAGAATTCTTTGCAAGCTGCAAAGAAAATAGTTTGCAATACAAACCTATTCTTTGCAAGCATTTTGCAGTGTGGGTGAAGCAGTAAGAAGTAGTTGAGGGCAAATAAAATGGGACCAAGCAAACTGAGGCCGACTCCTAAGGTATCCTGTGAGGAAACCAACATAAAAAGGCCATGACGTAGTTGTTAAACATACCCTGTGTGAAAGCTCAAGGTAAAAATACTTTATTTCGAGTCAACTGCTAGTAAAAGGGGAAAACTATAGAAAAATCAAAGATACCTCCTCAGAATTTGAGGAAAACGCCTCCTTAAACTTTCTTTATCAGACCAGACGTGTCCATCTATGAGGGCTGTAGCCGGTATCAATTTCTAATGGAAAACAAGATGATCGCGTAGGGCCATAAAAAGTCTTTCATGTCTGCGAATTTGTCTGCTACTGTTAACACAAGCTACTAATGTTCTTTCTTTGGACTTTTCAACGTTGTTGTTGTTATTTAGACCACTATGCCGATGAGAACGTTTTAAAATAAATTGCTCACGTCAACAGCAGACGACGGAGGGAGACAATGTTGAGTCTAATTCTTTCTGCTCTTATTTAAATTACACTACTTAGTCCATCATTTTCACGAGTGAGAGCCCGCTTACTAACGGGACCGAGGCAAATGGCTTGATTTTCAGCTCGAATAAACATCAAAGAAATTATTGAAGGACGTAAACAAGACCTCGGTGATAGACCGGGCACCCCTGGCTCCGACAAAGACTACGTAGCTCCCCAGCGAGCACACGGGCCACAGCGTGCCCAAGAGGCCCGAGTGCAGAAGGTCACGCCACGCATCTCGCGACAAGGGATGTCGGCGGCTGTACAGGGCGATGGACTCCGCCAGGTCGCTGTAGGCGATGCGCATGTGCGCACATGATAGGCGCTCCACAAGCATACGCACTGCTATCACCAACACCGTGAACGTGGTGTAGTTCGAGCTCATCGTCGACGTTCCTAGAACAAGCCGTTGTCAAACTCAAAATGTATCGATACATAATGTGTGCAAATCGTCGAAGAGGCTGGCTACACTGATGAATTATGTTCAGCAAACAACACGTTTTCGCACAGGGGTTGTACACATTTTAAAGTAGTATTATTTTAGGAGCTCATAACAAAAAAAGTTCCGACCAGAAACGGATCGTGAAAGCAGATGATACCAATTTAAGAGTAAGAATTGTTCATTGTTCTACCTTTCTACATTTAAAAATAATTTATGGGTTTTAATAAAAGCATTGTGGACAATAGTAAAATTAATTGTGACCGCACTGTATCGTCTATCACCATATCCTTCGTTTACGGCTTGTTTACAATCCAGCGTCCTCCCTGTGTAAGGTACGCCGGACGCAGGGCGACCGGCGATCCTTGACTCTTTGAATATCCCGCCGCGTCAGGGCAGACGCAAGGGCCAGCGCGTCGGAGCAAAACTGCATAGTTCAGCAGAATAGGTGGCTCTATCTCTCACCGTTTGGGCGCTGGAGGTGCTTTTTCGACGAAAATACGCCGAGAATGATCACGGTATACAAAACGACGTACAAGAAGGCCTCAAATCTAAAAATGACAGAAGAAGTCACATCCGAAACAGCACATGCTGAATCATTCATTGGAATTGCTGTATCTTCAGTCGTTTCAGAGGCAGAGGTCGATATGTACTTAAACAATGACAAAAAAGTCCAGTTTTAAGACTGTCTGAGAAATAATACAAGCTGAAAACTGTGCTTGTTATTAATTTTTTTTATCTATTTTCAAAGCAGAAGGGTGGGGTGTAGTCACGGTGTCGCAAGGTTGCAGTCTTTTCTCGATTGCAAGGAGCTAATCTTAAGGGCCGCAGACCCCCCTGAAAGCCTAATTAAGTTTGTTCGACAAACGCCGCCGGCAGACCAAGCAGGCCCGGACCCTCCGAACGGAGTTGCCTGCTGAGCGAAGTGATGCTGGCAACTTCGTTTGGAGGAAGGGCATGCCTGCTTGTTGCGTTTTGTACAACGACCTAGATGATCATGATCATGTAGTGTTTGTCTTTACCGGTCAAACAGTTTGTTTGTCAGAATGCAAAGGTAAACGTGTTCAAAAAAATGCGTAATAACTATCGCATGTCAATGACAAGATAATGCCGCGCGTATCACAGCTTTTTGTGAAATTACACATGAGTGAACTGTTAAATTAAATTTTCGAGGGCACCGTCGGATTTCCTACAAAGTCTCCGAGCAAACGAGCCCACATGTGGGATAGCGTTTGGAGTCCAAATAAAACACTGCAAAGGACATCAACTTGCATGTTCTTGGAGAACCATTGGTCAGAACTCTATCACATATAGCTCGTTTGATCGAAAATTTGTGTTAATACTCACCCATGGATACCGAACTGGCCCTGGTGAGGACGTGATCCCAGACTTTCGCCACCACGTAAAGTCCTACGCTGAGAGAGGCAGCAAGGTAGGCCCAGACGAACGGCCAGGGCCGAGGGGGCCAGTCCCCGCTCACAGGAAGCACACCCAGCACAGCTCCAAGCAACCGTTCAAAGCGCCACATGGGTGCGAGAACGTTCACTGCCACGCTCAACATAGTGTCAGAGTCGTGGCTCGAGATTTAAACGCGAGCTCTTGGAAGTCGCTGAAGTGCTGACCCAAGCCCCGTGTGCGCGTTGCTGAGCCAGAGCTACGACTAGGGGACCACCCCTGCGAATTCGACGACAAGGAAAATCGATGGTCGCGGCCGCCGCACTTCTATTGCGTTCATGAGTGGGGCCAACGATTACGAAAGGGCCCTTCCTTTGATCATACACAGAGGAAAACGTGTACTTATGATACAAAACAAGGCCCTTGAAGCCTGAAAAGACGCTTATTTATCACGAGGCTTTTCAGACGGTCCCTATTATGGCTGTCTCTACCCAAAGGTAATAGTTTTCCCTTTGTATTTGGAAAGAAAAAAAAACTCAGTACAAACTAAGGGCGGGTGGGGCACATCATGACAAATCGCTCCCCCGGCCCTCCTGTTGACTGTTTGCACCAGCATCGGTGCAAAGAACAAAGTTCTTGACCTCTCTTGAAACATAAACCACAGGTCGGTTGAATTAGAATCAATGTGCTTGCGCTGAGGAGAGTGTAAACATTGACTTCGACAATTTCGACGACCGTTTCAACGTTTTCTTTTCGTTTTCCCTGGAATTCTCAGCGACATCATCAAACTGGCCATGCGCAATTTTTCTATCATTAGTTTTGACCCCTAGAGCGACTGAACCTATTTCGGATCAGATTTTTGTATTCTCATCCTATACCAAAGCACACAGGTTTTAGAAAAATGACGTAGGATGGCACCTAAAGGTTAGATCTTCCTTTACAAAAAGCAATTATTTTGGCGTCCGTAGCTGCACTTGTTTGGGAGTTATGGCAGTTTGAGTATGGACGTGATTTTGATCCGATTACAAGTGCGACGACCGCGTCCGCGTCAGGTGCTGCTTTCAGTGTCATGGCCGCCCATCACCCCGGTGGGAGTGCAACTTGGCAGAGTAAAACTTGCTTTAGCTGTTAAGAAACGCATCACCCTAGCACATGCAAGTACAAGCAAACTACATGTGATTTCCGTCATAATGTAGGGCACAGGGCACATTGAGCAAGCATGGCGTACCAAGAAACGAGCAGGGGCTGTTCACTATGTTCAAGTGGAACAACCAGTCAACACTTCACAACTAAATCAGTCGCAACCGCCCCCGGTGAACCAGCAACAGTACCAGCTCGGCGGCACAGGTAATAGCACAGTGAGTTACGTACAACGAACAACCAATCTATCAACCTTACTTAACCTAGGTCAACTTGCCTCCAGAATATTCACAGTTTTGCATCATGGCTTTTCAATGCGAACGGTGCCAGAGGCTTCGCCATCAACTTATGCCCAGGTAATTGTGGAGAGCGTGCCATGCTCAATGATTGTGAATAATGGAGCCCATTTCGTCATAGCCCCATCGGTCGGCATCGAACGACGCCAGCAGCGCCCCTGGCGGCTCTTCTAAACCTACGAATGTACTGTCATTCCTTGCCCCCCTTAGATAGCTCAAAGCCGTCACCGTATTAACTGAAATTGTAGTTATTTATTAACCTGCCACTGCCCCCTAACTACACACTACGTCTTCCTGAAATATTAATTTTGTTTGCCTACGAACTTTTCTTTGAACAGTAATCGAAAATTTTGAATCCGAACACCTTATGTTCGTGTTCGTGCGATCACGAACAGCTCGATGTTCGTTCGAGTTCGATCGAATGCGAACATGTTCGCTCATCTCTAACTTGAGCTTAAACGTGCAAAATTAAACACTTGATTTACCAATGAGCAACTTCAGGGTTGGCCATTAAGCTTTGGTCACTATTAATAGTTAAAGTTTACTGCTAAACACTTTTAAGTATTCAAATTTTGTCCAAAACGTTAGAGTGTGCACCAGAGTTGTACACTACTTTGATGTGCATATAGTGAAACATATCTGTTTCCAGTGTAGAACTTTCCCATTTATTGCAACAGTAGAATAGTGATAGAGGCGTGCACGTTTTTCGCCATTTTAACGTGTCAAGCATACGAGCACGCAATAGCTTCGTCATTGCCGTTAAACTAAAACTCAGAAGACTGTTTGATTCGTATGCAACGTCATACAATTCACCAAGTCAGCACACAGCACACTTAAATTTTGCAAAGCCATGCTCTCCAGACGGTTTTTAAAGTTTAAAGTTGTTTTAGTTATCCTCATTAATGCGATTTTGGCTCGTTTCTGTCTCAAGTCTTTCACTACCATCCCTAGGTAATTGATAGTCCCATTTTTTCTGTTGTAAATTATAATTTTTTGTGCACGTTTCTATGCGCATGTGCGTTGGCGCTTCCCACCCCCCTGTGCCTGCAGAACCAGAAGCACTGCCAGCTAATCTGGATAGTCACGCCTGACATACCACACGACTGTCGCCGGTGCACGAGCAATAAAAAGGCGCCGAACTCACCGTCTATCGACATTCTGCAAACATGGCTGGTAAGATCCGGTGTCTCTCTCCTTCGGAGTGCATTCCACTGACCCCTCACTGTTAAATTCCTGCAAAGTATTTTGCTCCTTTGTAACTACGAAGTATTTACTTCGCAATTACAAAGTAATGCTTTGCAATTACGAAGTGACACTTTGCAATTGCAAAGCGATGCTTTGAAGCGTTTTCATTGCTTCGCAATTGCAAAGCATCACTTTGTAATTGCAAAGTAAATTCTTCGTAGTTACAAAGGAGCAAAATACTTCGCAGCTCTGCAAAGCAAATGCTTTGTAGGAATTTAACAGTGCTCGGTGAAGTATCAACCACCGCACACTAAGCTCAATCTTAAAACTACCCTGTATACAATAATATATTATTTACCTCTGTCGCTCATATTTGTATTCACAAGTTGTAGCCATTGATATGCTGTATAAGTTTCTTCTACAAACGTTTTAGATTGATTAGTAATGAAACATTTAATTGCAGGCCAACAATGCCTGGCATATGCTTCATTTATGGCTCTAGTGTTTTCCGGGGTGCACTATAAGGAGCCAGCGCAGAGCACAGCTGCAATTCCCGTCGAGGTAGACTTTGTTGTGATCGGCGGCGGGTCAGGTGGAGCCACTGTAGCTGGGCGGCTTTCGGAGGTCTCGAAATGGCAGGTTCGTGGCTTTTGTGGTCGCACACTGATTCCACAGAGGAGCGTTTACTAGGAGACACGTGCTAACGCTGCTATTTTGTCATAAAGGTGCTTCTGCTGGAAGCAGGTCCCGAGGAACCGATAGTGCAGCAGGTGCCGGCATTTAGCACGCAAACGTATGGCACGGCGAAGTACGACTGGCAGTTAAAAGTGGAAAAGACTGCGAATGACGTAACCGGTGTGATCCCCAGGTTCAAGCGCTCTACAAGTACACCGTGCACCAGTACAAGTGCACCAGTACAAGTGCACCAAAACTTTCACAAAGAACGTGCACCCTGACTAAATCTCTGCACTTTATTTTTCAGGGCAAAAATGCTTGGCGGCTGCAGTGCTCACAATGGCATGGTGTACCAGCGCGGTGTGGAGGCCGACTTCCAGTGTTGGGAGAAAGCAGGCGCGAAAGGGTGGAGTTTTAAGGTAAGGGTAGGAAGCAATTAGTCATCACGTAGGCACACTTAAGTGACACTTCTCTGACCGTTTTACCAACCAGGAAGTGTTGCCGTACTACAAGAAGTCAGAAGACAATCTCGATCCAGACGTGGCCAAAAACACAGCATATCACAGCACCGGCGGACCTCTCGGAGTGCAGCGCGTCCCCTACCAGGATGCTAACGCGCGACTCCTGCGCGAAGCGTACAAGGTACGAAACTGTCTACGGCCCCTGCGAGACTCAGGGTAGGCAAGCCCGCAGTACACGCATGCACTACAGCCAAGATGTTGCCTACCTATCAGGCGCTATGAGACCTTGCAATAGCGTAACTTTACAATTGCATATGAGCCACGATGTGGTTAATACGGTGTCGGCACTGAGCTATCTGAGGGGGTCAAGGAATGGCGGCACATTCGTAGTTCCAGAACAGCCGCCAGTGGCGCTGGCGTCGACCGGTGCCGGGCGAGGGGAGGCAGGAGGGGACGGGAGCGGTGCCCTGCTCGTCTCGTCCCTTCTCCCCTCGCCCGGCCCGATCGACGCCAGCGCCACTGGCGGCTGTTCTGGAACTACGAATGTGCCGTCATTCCGCGGTCGTCTTTTAGTCCGCTACCGGCGGAGAGCCTACGCCTACACCGTTTTAACTACATCTTGATATGGGCGAATGAATGATAAACTTGCTGGATGGTCAATCCACAATATTAATGCCAACAGTTAACTCAAGGCACAAGTTTATTCCTTAGCATAAAATTACTTTTGCGTTCTGCGTCTCCCTTTGTGTGCTTTCGTATAGGAGGGTGGCTACTCTGAAGTGGATCTTAACGGCGGCCACGACGAGGGCTTTGCATGGTCTCAAACGACAGCGAGACAGGGGCAACGCAACAGCGCGAACACTGCATTTCTCTTGAGTGCGCGCTCCAAGCGGAGCAATCTGCACATCGCCACTGGGATCCTGGTCAAGAAGGTCAACATAAACGCAAAGACCAAACGCGTTGAGTCTGTGGAGTATACCGACCCCAAGGGCGCGTCTAAGATCGTGAAAGCAAGGCTCGAGGTACATATTCTACTACCTCATTTATTCCTTTGATCACCGACGGAGACACAGCGTTTAATTATTATTTCTTAACATTTCACAGGTGATTCTTAGCGCTGGCACTTATTTATCCCCTCAACTTCTGATGGCTTCGGGAATAGGGCCAGCTGACCAGTTAAAGAAAGCAGGGATACCGGTGATCGCTCCATTAAATGCGGTTGGATCAAATTTACAGGTAAACGAATCTCATTTCAACTATATACACTTCTTTAGCGCAGTTAAGTGGAATAACGTAAAACTTCTATCTTCCGCTAAACCCTAGGACCATGTAATGGTTATGAGTCTGCCATCAATCAATTTCAGCAAAACTGCAGTTGTCCCAACACCAAAGCAGATGAACCAGCATGCTCAGCAATTCAAGAAGGTAGTTCTGCAGAGAGACCGTTCAGGCCAGTTTGAGCGAATAGGTAGACTATCACTGTTATTCAGATACTGTGACGTCACATTCTATATAATGTGCATGGTGTCACATTATCTAAAATATCATGTCACATTCTTTAGAACGTGACATACCATTTGCACCGCTCTGCCCTTAAGGGCTTAGTGCATAAGAGGCGTACCTATGTCACAAGAAAACGAATGTGACATATGTTATTCTAAATAATGTGACACAATTCACATTTTATAGAATGTGACGTCAACAGTATTTGAATAACAGTGTAGTAGACTGCATGCAGGCGTGCGCGCGGGTGTGCCCATCGTTACTATCCATTTCGCCTTACAGCTCCAAGCCCATTGGCAACCCACACGCACGCCTCCATTTGCTCCAACGGGGCTACACAACTATATTGCATTTACATCTCTACCAAACAAAAGAATGCACAGACCTGTAATTGAATTGTATTTTACGTTCCATCAGGGTACTGGTCCACTAACTGCAAATGGACTCAACTCTTTGGTAATTCGTACAAAGAGTCCTCTCCAGCCGTCTTCTGACGCGCGCCCGTACGTCCAAGTGCAGCACGCTATTGGGTGGCAGAAGAACCAGAACCTGATACCCTACTGTAAAGTGGACACACCGACAGCAAATGCTACCACCTGCTACTACAACGCGGTAGTTGAAATTGATTGGGTTGTGTGTAAGGGTTAGAGGCACCTTAACGTGAGCTAACTTTGAATTTTAACCTCTCATACAAACGGCAAGGTGACGGCCTCAGTCGTCCTACTGCACTCGCAAGATGCTGGAAGTGTTCAGATCAACACCACCAATCCTTACGGGCCTCCGCTGATTTACCAAAAGATTCTCTCCAGTGATCAGGTAAAAACACTCTTTAGAGACATACAATAGTTTAGCGAGTTGATACTGAACAAGCGAATAGAACAGAAACCACAGAAACACCCTTATTCGATCAGAGTCTTCACCATGATCTCTTCTATGTTCTTCCCGCTCTGTTCCGAACTCGATGGCTTAGAATAACGCCATTTGATACGTAATAGACCGATACGCAATACGCAATACGACAACCCCCTCTAGGACGTCCGCGCTGTCGCTGCGGTGCTTAAGAGCCTCACGGAGACGCTGCGGTCCTCCAAGTCGCTGCAGCGCGCGGGCGCCACGGTGAACCTCCCCGCGGCCGGGGCCGCGTGTGGCGGCCAGGCCGTCGGCAGCCAGGCGTGGTACGAGTGCGTGGTGCGCGCCAACGGGGGCTCGTCCTGGGGCCACGGCGTGGGCACCTGCAGCATCGGCAGCGTGGTGGGTAACGACTAACGAGCACAATGTGGCCAAGGTGGACGCCCAAATAGCTCAGCTTCACATGGTTTTGCGTTTACCTATGTTTATTTTTATTTTTCCGCGCGCGCGGACGTCAATTTCTTTTCAAATGTTCCCCTTTCCTCCCAGGTGGACGCCCGCCTGCGCGTGCTGGGCGGCGTGAGCGGGCTGCGGGTGGTGGACGCCTCGGTGATGCCGTGCGTGCCGAGCGGCAACACCAACGCGCCCGCCATCATGATCGGCGAGAGGGCGGCCGACTTCATCAAGCAGGACCACGGCGTCAAGGCGTGACATTTCGCGTCAACC